AATTGAGTCATGATGCAATTATTTTTGAGAATTTTGGGAATTGAGTCAATAGCAAAATAATTTATGCCACATGTATACTTTACATCCAAGAGATATTGTTTCTTTTACAGTGTATATAACTTTTCAATATATTATAAATAAAGAAACAATGTTTACCTATCAGAAAAAAATGATCAAATATCAAGTATAGAAAATAGTTTATATATAAATGTTTTTATACAATTATATCTATTTTCTGTTTCAAAATCAAACTAACATAATAAATACTTGTTTTATTATAGAAAAATATATATTTTTTTTATTTATATACAATGAAATATATTACTTTGAAAATTTTGTATTTAATTTAAATTTTTTTATTTAAAAATTTTTTTATTTTAGATTGAAATTTTATAATAATAAAATAATAATATTTTTAAACACAAAGTTAAAATTAATATTTAATTTATAAAGTTTTAACAAATCAATATTTGAATTTGAAATTTAATTTATGATTTTGCCACACGTAACAAGAACTAGATATAAAAATTATTTATTTAGATAAAAAATGTACTCAACGACTTTATCCATAAATGAACACATGCAAGAATTAATAAAACAATAAGCGTTCAATAACAAAAAATTTGTCACAAAAAAAAATAATAACCTAGGTAACAATAATTCTATGGTTTACCAAGATGAATTTAAGTAATTATCAACCATTATATCATGAGGTCATGAACATAAAGATATTTTTACTTTATTTCTCGACTTTTATAAAAATCCTTCATAATGAAGGTTTAATAAATCATGCTGTCTTTTGATAAATGTTAATGTCAGAGATCCGATAATAGTTGATGATTAAAATTATGAACGCCGTTTTACTGCGAGACCAGAAAAAAAGGTGATCAACATAACATCCAAAGAACATTTATATAAAATATCGCCATAAGTAATTATACATACGTAGCCTTGTGAGATCAGGTAGTCGGCTAGACCTGTAACAATTTTGTTTGCATTTCCCCCAGCCATCTCTCCAGTGTAAATGACGATGATAACAGCACTTTTTGTTTTCGATGCAATGACTCCATCCTTGTCCTATACGATACCAACGTATAATTTAAGTTAATTTGAGAAAACAACCCTTTCGTCGAATAATATTAAATATTAATACCAACCATTCTGCCGTGAATGTTTGTTTCATCATGACTAAGAGCAAAGTATTTATGACTGTTGCAGAATATTCCATTAGCTTGAATTTTTTCAGCATTACCAAAGGCCTCAACGATAGAGGTAACTTCTTCTGGACTCAACTAAATTATCGAGAAGGGGAAAATATTAACGTGTAATAAAAGTCAAAAGTTTTCCGTAAGGATTAATATTATGTTATCATTAGACTTCACGAGATGGTTATCACAGTTCCAGACTCACAGAAAACCCTGGAGAGGTAGCCCATAATGAGCCGTTTTGACCATAAATGGCGGCTTGCGAAATACATTCATGCACAACGAGTTGGTTATCAACGTATTCTTGCCACGACATATTTTCAATAAGAAAAATAAGTACTTTAGAATTAGAAATGAAAGTGCAATTGTGGGGAAAAATACAAGGGATGTGTTTTAATTTCGTCTTATACAGGAATGATTCTTTTGTGCAACAATGTTTTTAACGAAATTAACAATAATAAATCTGAATTTATTGATAGTACTTGTAATATGTTTATTTGAACTTTTTATATTAAATAAAAATATAATGGTAATCATATGATATGATCAGTGATATAATTAACCTGTTCAAAAAAAATTTTTTTTTCTCCATACGCGCTTTTTCACTTCAAATTTACGAGTTTTGTTGTCCCCCTTCTTTCTGTTCGTCATATAACAAATTCGTTTATTTTCATTTTAATGTTTTGAAATTTCAGAAATGGAATGCATCCCAGGTATGTATGCTTTATTAACATTTTTAAAATTATAATATGACGAAAACAAACTAAAATGTAAATTATATTTTAGTTCTCGCAAAACGTGAACAAATTGCTGAAGACATTTTGACAAATAAACAACTGGCATGTTTTTCCTATAATATTGCATGTTTATAACTTCGTGATATTTAAATCGGTTTAACAGCATTACTGAATAACGAAATCTTTTGCTTAAATAGATTATAGATTATGATCGAACGCGTAATGTTAACAGGGAAGCACTCAATAGAATAAAAAAAGAGCTTAAGAATGAAAACAAAGTTTGGGTAAATATCGGAAATTTCTTTATTAAGATGGAGAAAGAAAGCGTAAAGAATTATATTGAGGAAGGTAATATTTGAGCTTTTCATTTTACGTTATTTTCATTCTATGAATTCATTTTAAACTGTTCTCTTCGCGTTTTAATTCATTAGACCAGCAGAATCTTGAAAGAGAAATTTCGAACTTGAGAGAATCTGTTAAACGAAAAACTGCCGAATTAGAGAAATTAGAGACTGGTGAAAATAAAAAGATGAAGGGATTTGATTTGCGGGGAATTAGTTCAGATGAATTATATAAAATTACAGAGAAAAAAAATTAGACCTAAATGAATATGCTTAGTGTTCAAAGATATCTATGTATTGTCTTTCGAATAAAGCGCAATTTCTAAAGAGAAAGCTAACGCTCACTAATAAAAACAGCTTAATTTATAATTTTGTATATTCGAGTCGCTTAATATGTATCGTATTAAAAATCTATTTAGCCGTACCAAACGATCCATTATTCTTTTCCATCTAATAAAATAGATAAATTGATTAATAAATAATTCAAAATTTAAATGGACTTTTATAAACTTGTATATGTAATAAAAAATTTTTTTAATCTTAAAAAGTTTTATTAAAGAAAAATTTTTGGTTTATATTTTCTTTCTCTAATATTATAAAAATCTATGATATTATACTTATAATTAAAGAAACTATTTACAGTGTGGTGCAAAAAAAACCAGAATTTTTTTTAATATATATTTTTATTAATAAATTAATATAAAATTATTTAAA